GAGTTATCGATGAGGTTGAGGTCAAGACAACCTGCAATGGTCTACGGAGTACAATGATATAGGATAGTTCTCGAATTCTGATTGGCCAGCAAGCCGATCATCCTACAGCAAAATACCTACAATTATCAAAAAAAAGAAACATAGCCATCTAGACATAAGCATATATTCCTGGCGCATGAATAATGCCAGTATCAAAAGACCCTATTATTTCTCATCCCAAGTCCTACGCTCGCAGTGACATTATTTACGGATACTCCAAACCCCGAATTTCGAAGCGTATCTGATGTGTCTGCCATCATCCCTGAACATCAAAGTGCATCCCGGGTTACGTAAATTAAAAGAACGTGTATGGCTCCAGGTGCCTCCGCTGCCTTGATTCAGCCAACATCTATCTCAGTGAAGATTCTGGTGAATTCTGCCTCAAAGCGCGGTTATTGCGATCATGCACGATCGACTCGAATTTCCTGTCCTGTCAATCTGCCCACCTGCCATCCGGTGCGTTGTCGCGGTCTCATTCCGTCTTGGTCCAGATTCACTGATGAATCGGACCATGTGGATTCTTTTACTTGAATGATAGGTAAGGTACTCTGTCTTAGGTACGAAGAACAACATAGCGGCTGCTTTACCAACCCACGTTTCTCAATCAGAGGCTCCCTTTAGGTAGGGTCGAATACTCTGGTGGGAACCATGAATTCATTGTCGGGCAATATTCGATCTCGAGGGTTCATGAAGATAGATAGTAGATAGACGGAGTGAGTAAGGTCCTGCCCGAAGCCAAGTTCTCATTACTCGATAGTTTGAGTTGTTCGGACCTGAATCGGAGGCATGGATGACGCTCAAGACACTGAACAATAATGAGAGACAACGACGAATGATTCTCTGTGATTCCTTCATTCTCTCATAAGTCTCTACGAGTAACAGTAAATAATTGTTGGCAACCCCAGACGATCCCAATCCAGACCAATCGACTAGTTCCTCAAGCATTATTATTAGTCGGGAAGGTCTGGGACTCTGCGAGTCTTGATCCGTTCCATACACATCGCAGAGTAAGTTATATAGGCCCAATCTGTGCTACACAATCAAATCCTGCATTTCGTACAGCCAAAACCATCCCATCCTATATTCCCAAAAGAACTCTCTTCTACTCGAGAACAAAGAGGGACAAGAAGGACAAGAAGGACAAGAACATTATATTTTATTCTTAGTTTATCAAGAAAGTGGGCTGCGAATCTCGGAACCGACACTTTGCGCTGGATCCACGGCCAGCGTCATTTCTTATTGTAATTTTTTTTTCTTCCATGTCGCTCACGGGGTCTGGAGTCTTTCTGCGAGTGCTGATTTTTTCCCTAAAAATTCTAGTGCGTGACCCATTTGAGTTCTTTATTTTTTGCTTAGTTTGAATGCTTTTTATTATTTCTATCTATAAGATATGATTTAACTATCTAACGGCGATGTCCTGACGGCCCCAACGTCACCAGAATCATTACCTTGGGGGCACCGAGAAAACCACTTTGGGAGCAACATACAGCCGTTATTGATCTCATTGCACAATTAGCTCAGCTGATTGCGGCATTATTCTATGGTTGAAGTGGTTGCAAGGTCCACGTTGAGGGGCTTCAATCGATTCCCATTACTCCATAGCTCTACCACTAAGGTACATAGTTATACAACTGCTGCCCCCTCCTCCGCCAATTTACCCCACTGACTTTTTTTTCCCTCCTTGCCCTCATCTCTGTTCTGAAGCTGCGCCTTTGGGGTCGAGGGTTTCATTTTCTTTCAAATACTGATTGAAGGCTCTCAGAGTCGATCTTCATACACACCACGATCGTACGGGCCGTTGTCTCCCTTATAGAACCCGCTCCAGCCCTACTCCAAACCATCTTCTCCCATCTCCGATCTCCAGACTCACCGTTACTCTATTGGGTCAGACATCTGCGCCTGGTCCTCCGACTTGCTTCCCCTTCCACCCCCTTCTACCCCGCATCCTCTATTTTCGCCCTTACCCCTTCAGCCGACAACATCATTCCAGGGTCGAAGAGCTCTTCTCTTCCGTCTGACTGTCGTCCGTTCCATTCCAGAGATCAGCACTCCGAATGACACAACAAAGGAAAACCATTGCCGTCGTGAATGCGACGGGCCGTCAGGCTGCCTCCCTTATCCGCGTCGCTTCCGCCGTCGGTCACAATGTACGAGCTCAGATCCATTCCCTCAAGGGAATCATAGCGGAGGAGCTGCAGGGACTCCCCAACGTCACACTCCTCCAAGGATCCCTGCTCAATAACACCGCGTTGATGGAAACCCTGTTCCAAGGAGCGAACCTGGCGTTCATCAACACAACATCACAAATGGGAGACGAGGTCGCGATTGGAAAAGCACTGGCGGACGCTGCGAAGCGAGCAGGGACCATCCAACACTACATCTACAGCAGTATGCCAGATCATTCGGTTCATGGTCCATGGCCTCCCGTACCACTATGGGCTCCCAAGTTCACCGTCGAGAACTACATCCGGCAGCTTGGACTTCCTGCAACCTTTGTGTATGCGGGGATTTATAACAACAACTTCACAAGTCTACCCTACCCTCTTTTTCAGATGGAGCTCATGCCGGACGGGAGCTTTGAATGGCATGCGCCGTTCGATCCGAACACTCCATTGCCTTGGTTAGACGCCGAACACGACGTGGGGCCTGCGCTGCTTCAGATTTTCAAGGACGGGCCCAAGAAGTGGCACGGTCATCGGTAGGTTACCCAAGAGAATACCCCGGTAATCGGAGACAGCTGCTGACGGTTCTGTGTCGTACAGGATCGCCCTTACATTCGAGACCCTATCCCCCAACCAGGTGTGCGCGGCTTTCTCGCGCGCCTTGAATCGTCCATGTCGTTACGTGCATGTCCCCAAGGTTGAAATCAAAGTCAACATTCCCACCGGATACCGTGAACAGCTCGAAGCTATCGAGGTGGTCTTTGGGCAGCACAACGCGCCTTACTTCCCTCAGCCCGAGTTCTCCCGTCCTGCAGCCGGTTCGCCCAAGGGGCTGGGTCCCGCCAATGGTAAAGGCGCCGGGGCGGGAATGATGCAGGGCCCTGGAGGGGTCGTCTCACTTCGAGTCACCGACGAGGCTCGGCAGCTGTGGGAGGGATGGAGAGACATGGAGGAATATGCGCGAGAAGTGTTCCCGGTCGAAGAGGAAGCCAACGGGCTGGACTGGATGTTGTGATACAAAGCACAAGTTGAATTATTCCTCCAATTTTCCATGAGTGCACTCATTGTTGCATTGGAAGATCATTGGCCAGTGGGAACAACGTCGGGGTGCTTGTTGAGAGCGCATCCCTGTCATCAGCTGATATAAGAAAATATACCCCGAGGCCTTTGCGTCCAGTCGCTGAATGAGACCCAATTGGTCCGATACGGAGGGTTGTATTGTCTATGCGCCACTATCGACGCTGTGTCCCGTCCTTATCTCTCTCTCTCTCTCTCCGTCTCACCTCCTCTTAATCATGATTGTCGCCTTCGTCCCGCTTTCACAATAATTTTTCAATCGCATTGCTGGCGAACGGGTTTTCGTCTAATTTCTTGGAGACTCTCTCATAACATGAAGGAACCATACACACAGCAACACAGCGTTTCAACCTCAGCTTACAAATGGGCCGAAAGCTCGCTCACTGATTGTGTGCTTGGATTGGAAATGGATGTCACGAACTCTCTTTTTCTTATTTAATGTTCTTCTCCTGTGCTATGACTGACTCACGAAAGGTTTACTGCAGGTATGGCTGCGGTTAAGGTCTGCCACCAAAAGTTCTTTTCCTTCTTACAAGTACTATCTATATTCCCCTCTGGAGTTTGGTAATCAAAATCTCATATTGGTGGCTGTTGTGACTTTTCTGTTGATTATACTCTTCACCCTCAATCAAACTTTATCTGATTCTCACTTTGACCTCGGATAGCTCACGGTTCACCATAGCCCTCACCACTGGCTGAATCCCTTCGCTTCAATCTGAGATAAATACTCCATGTATCCAGACTAGAGAGTAGTTCCCATCGCCCTCAATATTGAATCTCCCCGCACAGGTCTAGATCGCCACGACACGACACGAGTCAGTACGGCGTTTAGTCTGTAGTGTAGACGTAGTCAAGATAAGAGAAAAAAGCAACGCCCGTCTAGGACGATAAGATCCATAGGTGATAGTCAGGTACGGAGCCTAAGCCTGCCAGCCTGGCCCATTGCTTTTTCCCATGTCGATCATTGCGCGTGGCGTTTGTTAATCTTGACTCTTGAGTGTGAGTCCAGTGCCATGTCGATATCCATGGGGTGAAATTTTTGGTAGTAATTTGTAGCAAGTGATTCCTGGTATTTGATGGGATGACTCTACTAAGTGAGGTCTGTTTGAGATTGGCAGTCTTGATGAGTGCTATGGAGTATGGTGATTTGGTTGTGATTGCTACTCAAGAGTAGAGTAAGCCTGGACTGATGAATCTCAGGCAGTAGCAACTTTCGTGGATATGTGATTCAACTGGACATGTATGTCAAGGTCCAGCTGGGTCACTTGGAACTCAACCTTGCAAGGTTAGAAGAGAGATATAGACAGAGTATACTGCTATTACTTTGATACTAGCTTAACATTCCTTTCATACTACCTCATGTAGTACCAACCAGTAACAGTCCTCAGGTATGATGGTAGACTAGGTACCTCTGATTGGCTCTCCTCCTTAGTCAGGAACACCTCGAGCGGTGACATCACCTGACCCTAAAGCGGCCATCCGCCGAGTCGAGAACGGGTCAGCAATTATTGCGATTGCCCGCGTTACCTTAAGTTTCAGAATTTTTTTTTCCCCTTCTTCTCCAAATTTTTCCTATCACCATCTTCAACTGATTTCTCACGCGCTTGATCTGTACAATTTGCTCAATTCGTTGCTTTATACCCCTATACCCCAGTTCGCTCACTGCTTTCCTCATTACCCCCTTTTCTCCTAGCTTATCTCTCCTCAGCCTTATCGGTAATCATGGGTGCCGAAAACGGCCAGAAGTCGCTTCTTGAGCGCATTGAGATGCCTGAGATCCCGATGGAAGTTGCGCAGGAGTTTGCGCTCCTGGAGCAGAGATTTATCCGTGCTGAGACTGAGCGCTGTAAGTCACCGTCGCCATTCGCCTTTCCTGGGGTGTTACTCGTCCACCTCATTTGAGCACAGGAATCTAACTCGTTTAGTGCGCCGGTCCACTGTTGAGAACCGCCCTCTGTGGGAGAAGCGTAGCGAAATCATCTCCAAAGTCCAGGACGACTTCTGGGTTCGTGTCCTCTCCCACGCCCCCGCCGAGATCGACGAATACATCCAGCACGCCGACGCAGCTGTTCTGGGCTCTGCCCTGAAGGACCTCACTGTCGAGAGATTCGAGGTCGACGACAAGGGCAATGGCGAGCCGCGAAGCCTTCGTTTCACCTTCGTGTTCCGCACCGGCGAGGAGAACCCTTTCTTCGAGAACGAAAAGCTCGTCAAGGAGTTCTACTGGCGCAAGAAGATCACCAAGACTTCCAAGGGCAAGCGGAGGACATGGGAGGGCCTCGTCTCTGAGCCAGTCCGCATCAACTGGAAGGAGGGCATGGATTTGACCAAGGGATTGCTCGATGCTGCCTGTGATCTGGCCGAGGCCGAGAAGAAGAAGGGTGGCGACCGCAAGAAGCTCCCCGAGTTCGAAAAGCTCGCCGAGAAGATGGAGGAGCTCGAGGCCGCTGCGATGGAAGATAACGAGGAGGACGAGGAAGACTTCCCCACCCCTGCCGGAACCAGCTTCTTCGGGTTCTTTGGTTATCGCGGCAATGTTGTCTCCGCCGAAGAGTCCAAGGAAGCCAACAAGGAGGATGATGAGCGGTTCGAGAAGGCCCTTAAGGGAGAGAAGTTTGATGATGAGGAGGATGACGACGACGAGGAAGACGACGAGGAAGACTCCTTCGATGAGATTGAGATCTTCCCTGACGGCGAGGACCTTGCGATCGCTCTCGCCGAGGACCTGTGGCCCAATGCTCACAAGTATTATGGTAAGGGCACTCTGCCGTTAAGACGATGCGACCGTAACTGACTCAATTCCAGGACAATCCTTTGAGATTGGCGATGATTACTCTGAAATCGATGAGGACGAACTCGAAGATGAGGAGGACGAGGGTGAGGACGAAGAAGACAACTCCCGGCCCCGCAAGAAGGCCAGGGTTTAAAAGCATCGTCCTGCTTGATTTTTGATTGAAAATGCCATTTCGTTACTTTCGTGCCCATGGGTGGATATCTGATATCTAATCACAATGCGATCACCAAAATTAGTAGTAGCACCAAGACGAAGATGAGAGCCGCGATGCAGAATGAAGACATTGTATCTAATGAACCAAAATGATTAGTTGACTAGTTTCTGCCTACGTTCTCGTCCTTTACCACAAAAGCAATGTGGAATTTCACTGGACGAACAGACAGAGTACTCACTTACCTTCGTTCTTTCGCACGATGTGCTTTATCCGTGACATCCCGTCGCTCAACTTGCCTCCAACCCTATCAGCCAACGTATCAACCTCGTCGATCATGACGGCCTGCTCTTCCAGCTCTCTCCCCATATCATCCGCCTGTTGTCGTAGGTTGCCCACGGTCTGAAATACCCCGTCTAGCTGTTCATCTTGTTCATGCATCAGCTCCATCTGCCGCTGCTGCTCAAGAGCAGAGTAGTAATCGTCCCCGCGATCATCCGCAGAGGGAGACAGGACATTATCAAAGTCGGCCGGATTCGGCAGTCCCGACGTAGCTGTCCTGGTACTGCCAACTGTGTCGGCAGTCGTGACGACCCTCTGCAACTCCTCTCTCATCTTCTCGACCTCATCCCCGACCTCGTCCACCAACTTCCGTCGGCGTGCGACTTCCTCGATTTCGAGGCCATACCGGTATGGGTCTTGCTCGATTGCGCGGACACTCTCCACGAGATCATCTAGATCCGCGGTTAGGTCTGTTAGTGTAGCCTCGAGCTCCGAGCGAGCTTGTTGGAGTTCTGGATTTGATGGTGATTTGGCGAGAGATCTGATACGGAGGTATGAGGAGAAAAGGGGCCTGCTGGATTGCAGCGTCGACAGGACGTCTCTGTACCCGGCGAATGCGTTAGATTTCCTCTGCCGAGTCACCTAACGGGGGAGAAAGTGGCCAGGCTTACGCTTGTACTTGAAGGAAAGGGTCTGCACTATCCATGTTGTATATATCATAAATCGAAAGGGCACCAAATGAAGATTAAGTAGAGCAACTGTAGGGCCGCTGGCTAGTGAGAAGATATTATTGACGCCGTGTTGAGTTGAGCTGAATTGTTGACACCAGTCTAGATAGCTGGATACAGTTGGTTCGGCGGTGTGATCAGCGGTAAGTCGGGCTATATTAATATCTTCACGTGATATCTCTCTAATCCGCCAATTTCAATCGACTCTGCAGAAAGATAACTCTACAATTTATGACAACCGTGTCAGAATGTACTGAAGTAACCCATGGTAAAAGCACGGTGGAGACCAACATGTCTTTGGCTCCACGTCTCCTTCAGATACCTCTCCGCTGCTCGATTGAATTCCCGCCCTCGAGCGTCAATCACTGCCGGCTTCACGCTCCAGCTCCGGACGCGGCGTCTACAGTCGCAATCGCGACATCGCAGCTCCAGGTCGTTCTTCCACTCCTTCCAGTAAATGTCCAACGGATCCGCAAAGCGACACTCTCTGACGCCACCATCAGTAGTTTTATCATCCAGATGACAACATTTGTCTTGAGGACTTAGAAATAGCTTCGCCAACGTTCTGGGTGATTGCTTCAGCATGAACCATGAAATCAGGCTGTATTCGTTCTTTGCATCCCGGTGCCAATCCTTCGGGCCGTGTCTAAGAAGCATACGCTCCATGAGCTCCCGCAACATTCGTAGAGCAGTGTGAAAATCAATTTCAGTTTGTTCATCAAGATAGCTCCTCAGACGAAGCCTTTTCCTGCCGATTTCTGCTTCCACATGTCCCCATTCCAACGCTGCGTAGATATGATCGAGACTCTTATCGAAGTTCATCGATCGGCTCCTATGCTGTAGGAGGTCGTCGTACAGGTCCGATGCCCAAGTCAGTTCTAGAGGCCGCTCAGGACCATAGGTAGCTGATTTCTCCCGGTCTTCCACTTGCGGCATCTCCGTATCAAGGGAGGCATCCGCAAAGTGAAAGAGCACATGCAATCCTCGTTCCAGTGTTTGTGCGAGTTTCAATTCAGCATTGTAATCCATCTCAGGATTTCCGTCATCATTGTACGGGCCCCATACAGAGGGAATGATACGCCGTGCTAATTGGCTTGCAGTACGTTGACGGTAAATGAATCTCGGGAGTGTATGCACTGTGAGAGGTCGCTGGCCGCCTGTCTGCGGATCCAGTGTGATAAGAGGAGCAAAAGCATGGATATCGTGCAGGCGCATGAACCAGCGGCAGATATGCGGCTCGAGTGATCCGATGGTCTCGTATGTCGATTTGTTGACAAGACGGAGATTTAAGACCGTGGCCATGTCTCCGTTTATGATGATTTGGAATAGTATATCGGCGACATGGCCGAATAACACTTTTGTTGTTTCCATTTGTGCATCCAAATTCTGCTGAACGTCCGCAGGATTAGCCCATTGCTTTGGTTTTCTCGACTTCACGGCAAGAGAAGAGCTTACAAAAATCGTATCTTACCTTGACAGTGAAGTTCCCTTATGTAGTTTGTCCAAGAACTGACATGGTTGTGTATCCAATAATGCGGCCAAGCACATTGGCCCTCCTTGCAGCAAGGCAATAATGAGCTGATGTGTACAGTGTACTTGGGCAAACGATCATAAACGGTGTGACGCGTTGAGTATGGTCTTGGCCGTCATGTTTGTGTCGGGAAGGGTTGAGTATGTTATGCAGGTAGTCAGACGATCACAGCTTGACTGGCCAATGCTCAGAGTGAGGACTCAAGATCCAAGCTGAGTTCTACCTGCAGACAGTAGGCCTTTCCCGTGAGAAATTGAGTTCGCTTCAGAGAAGCGCAACTCGCCACGCCTCATCCATGACAACGGACAGATCTTCGTACCAGGATTCGCCGTTCCTTCTTTGCATTTTCATCAATTTGGCGGCTCCCTGGAAATATCATACGGAGCAGATGGAACATTGAGACTGAAAGCTAAAGTGTCTAGCTCTTCCAACATGATCGACATAAAGTGTAAGATCAACGGTCTGACAACAACTATTGCCTGATAGACTCAATAGTCGGTCGATTAGTTGTCAAAGTGGCTTGCGGGGAACAAGCCCCGTAGCACGCACCATCGTGAGGCATGAGAATAGGGTACGTTGGATTCTCGACCCTGTATTAGACATCATATAATGAGACTGATGGCAAAATGGCTAGGAAAGATATTAGGTGTCTGCTGGTGGACGAACTGTCCCCATAGTTCTGTTTGGACTCTCCTCGACCTAAACCCAATCGGTGATTTCCCCTCAGGCAGAAAATTTCTGGACAAAAGTTGAAATGTTTTCCCCGCAATTTCTCCATCTCCAAGTCAATCAAGTCAATCAAGTCAGAAAAACGCGTGCCAATCTAATCGGAATTAGTTTGCGGTTTCATAAGTGCTATGCGACATCCATAGCGATCTCATTTCACTTCTCTTTCCCTGTTCAGCGCACGAATGCCGCATCCACGACCGCTCCCACTCCCCGAGGAGTGGACAGATCCTGACGCTTACGTCGACGCCCTTCTTTCCTTTACGACCTCGTCTGAGCTATTCATCCATGTGTGCGGGGGTGTGCATATATTGGACTTTCTGACTCGCGACCCGGATTTGTACGATTCACTTCTGCCACAGCATTGGCGGACATTCTTCGAGAAGCATGACATTCAAGATATACTAGACCTGTTGTTGAGAGAAGATATACCGCCACTGTTGCAGCAGAGTCGCAAGTTTGCTGAAAGTGACCAGAGTCGGCATGCAGAGGCTCGTTGGAGAGGGCAGCCTCTCCCTCCAATCGACCTTCTGGATTACATTCATCAGATCCGTCGTCTTAGCCTGGGGAGAGATTTCACATCAAGACAGCCTGGCAAAGTGTCGCTACCTCACCATCTTGCAGTGGGAATGAATCAGAAGAAATATCATGAGGTTGCGCACTTCTCCAAATACGTCAATGCCTTATGTGACACCGTAGCCGAAGAACGGGGCGAGGCTATATCGCACATTGTCGACTTCGGATCAGGACAGAACTACCTTGGACGGACGCTGGCAAGCCCTCCTTACAACAGGCATATAATCGCAATCGAACGAAAACACCAGTTCATCAGTGGCGCGAAAGGCATGGATATTCATGCCAAATTGGCGAAGAAGCAGAAGAAGATCGTTTACAAGACCAATAAAACGAGGAATCGCACGGGCTTGGAGGATGATCAGGATGCGACAGTGACACCAGCCACTCCTGAGGTGGAGATAGTGGAAGACGTACCTAATGGTGCTTCCACCGAGCCTGGCGCTGGTGATGATGATGACGCCACGGTTTTCAATGTTTTGCTGGACATTGATATTCAACCGGATGAGTGGGGAACGAGCCCTTACAAGAATGGACCACCCAAGAAATTTGTCTCGGGCAAGAAAGAAGACGAACCTATGTTCAAAGGGGCCATGGATTACATCGAGCACGAGATCAAGGACGGATTCCTGGAGCCCATAATCAAGGATGTGATTAAGTCTCGATCTTCGGAGATCCAAGACTCTCAAGGCTCCATCGTCGACCAAAACTCGAGATCCGAGGGAAAGTCAGACGACCCTAAAGTCATGGTCATCTCCCTTCATTCATGTGGCAACCTTCTTCATCATGGTGTCAGATCTTTAGTCCTCAACCCGTCTGTCAAAGCTATTGCAATGATCGGATGCTGCTATAATTTGGTGACTGAGAGACTGGGCCCGGCCACTTACAAGCTCCCCATCCTCCGCACTCAACATCCCCGTTTGACTCAAGATGCCTGTGCGTATGACCCTCATGGGTTCCCCATGTCGAAACGTCTGGAATCGTATGAACATGTCAGTGGGACTGGCGTGAAATTGAATATCACCGCGCGTTCGATGTCTCTACAGGCACCCTACAACTGGGGCAGAGAAGATAGCGAAGCGTTCTTCACGCGGCACTTCTACCGAGCCCTTCTCCAGCGCATTTTTGTCGACCGTGGCGTAGTAGAGAAACCTGTCAACCCGACGGATCTCTATGGATTGGAGACTGGCGGTCCTGATGCGGTAGGGAATCCTTTGATTGTCGGTTCGTTGCGAAAGGCCGCCTTTACGTCGTTTTCTGCATACGTCCATGCTGCAGTGGCGAAGCTGAGCAAGGACCCGCACAATGGCGAAAAGGTGAAGGCAAAGATGGCCGGCATTACAGAGGAAGAAGTGAAGCGCTATGAAGCGGAATACTGGCCCCGCAAGAAGCATCTTAGTGTCACTTGGGCTCTGATGTCTTACAGTTCAGCACTCGTCGAGGCCCTCATCGTCGTGGACAGGTGGCAATTCCTGCGTGAGCATGACTCTGTCAAGGATTGCTGGGTCGAGCCAGTTTTCGAATACAGCGAGAGCCCTAGGAATCTCGCCGTGATCGGCATCAAGAAATGATTCCGTGACCTGTCCTTTGGCAGAAGTAGTGATGCATACACGCTTTGACGATTCGCTGCGAGGTATTCACGGTCATTCGTCTAGCATGGCAGCAGTCGCATTGTCATCCATGAGGCATATTCGGTGTTATTACTGCTATTACTCGCAACCTAGACCAGACCCGAAGCATGGAGCAAAGACACGCCCCTCATGACGCCCGCTCATCGCAACGCGGATGCCGGATGCGCGTACAATACCGCGAGGCGACATGAAAGAGACCCTGCGCTTTCTGGGAAACCCAACAGAGCGACCGCCAGCTAGAGGTCCCCTGTGTTGTTCTTCATCGTTTCATATGGAAGAAGGATAGAGTCACGATTGATGACCTTGTATAGACATGTTCATGTGCAGAAAAATCCATAGAGTGCGCATGTAGTTTCTTTTAGACCACATACCAATGCAGTGACGAGGAAATGAGCAAAGGATACTGCTTCTCTTCCGATATGGTTATTTCTCGAGATACATGTCTCAGTTGTCCCCATGTTCAGAGTGACTGCGGTCGACGATGGAATCTTGGCCTTTGAATCAGAACTTTGGCTGATCGAACAATTCAGTTTAGGGCTGGCTGAAGAGGGATCAAGCTGTGTATTTATGGCCTCACGTAGATTCATTATCAACATCAGTGATGGTATGTTTGATTTGGTTTCAGCATGGTCGTTGTTAGGAACAATATATGACCTTACTAACTTATGCTTTGTACGAATGGTTTGCTGAAGGGATTGCACATCGGCAAAGAGAGAAGAATTAGGTCCTATTGTATGGCGGACCCAGGATTCTTTCAGGGAGGTATGCTGGGCCAACTTCACCAGACTCTCTAAAACCCTCTTTCCATCCTCCTTCTTTCAAGGACATGCAGGGGCTTTCCACTATCCAGTGCTTCCTCATCCTCAATGAAGAGACGGGTCACCACACAAGCCACATGGTATTGCCAGTAGGGCAAAGGATCCATCTCTGTATCGGTATCTGCAGGGGAGTTGGAGCCGTGTTCCTTTTGTATTCGCCAGGATGCTCTCCCGTTTTTCACCGGTTTCAGGTCCGAGGCTCCTCACTTTTGTAGATATGGACGGGCATCTTCATTTTCGCCGTGGGCCTTTCCAAGTTCCAACTTGCAGGCTCCATGGGATACAGATATATAGCAGATTCTACCAACGGAATCTAGGCTCAATAAAATAATAGACAGATCAACGAGATTATACGGGTAAAAGAGTGATTTCCTAGGTGAAGTAATGGGTTTGCTCTGATAGAGAGACAGAGTAGTAATCAAAGTGATGCCTGAGTGGCTGCCGGCCCTGTCGGAGTCCGCGGATTCCGACACCACTGTGCGTCATGACTCCCAAGGCAACACAATTCACATTTGACGAGACACGAGACTATTTTATCCCCATCTTGCCGAGTGCCGATAAATCTACTAGTCTCTGTGGGAGTCAATATGACTGACAAGCGAAAAATGGAGGCCGAGGGTACCGAAAGTGACAGTAGGGAGCTTCTCAACCGGCGCGCGGTGAGTCGAGGGCAGTATGGAAGGGATTGCATGATGCTAACAAGCTGCAGTGTGACCAATGCCGCCTCAGAAAGGTATGAAGGTTGTGGAATTGATGCTCCTGAGTGCTTGAGGTTACATTGAATTGCTCTTATCTGGTTTGACCATGCATATTACCGACAGGTACGCTGCGATAAGCGATCGCCATGCTCGAATTGTCGCAGTGCACGAATCGTCTGCCGCTCAACAGGTGCAGGGCAGAAACCCAAGGAGGATCGGAGGCGGGTCCTAATTTCCAGCCAGTAGTAAGTAGGAAGCACTTGGCCCAGTCAATGCTCTTGTCTGACTTGCCGCAGCGAGAAGAAGATCGATCTTATCGAGGAACGACTGGGCAACATTGAAGAGGTCCTCCATGATTTGAAATCTAGCCTTGCTCGCAATCCCACTACTGCTGAGCCATGCTACCACACGACTCCTGTCTCGAAGCAAATGACTCCAGATGCATCTGGGTTTGCCTCCAATACCACAGCTGCGTTGGAACATGACTCTGGTACTGGGTTTGAGGGTAACTCATCCCTCGCGGCTCATTCCGCCTACGCAAGTGCGTTTCTAGAGACCGTCGTCTCGCGCAGCGCGCCTCAAGTATCTACCCCGAAGATCAATGCAGCGCTCACGGCACTCAGACAGATCGTGAACATGCAGAGTCATCCACCTGGGTCTTCATCAAGAGAGGTTCCGTTGCCGAATCAGAAAGGTGGTCGGGTTTCGAACTTACGAGATCTGGACATGCCCCCGATGCAGGTGGTTCTGCCAATTTTGCGCCAAATAAAAGGTATTTTTCTCTCAGCTTTTCATAACAAGAGTGGCCGAGGTTGACGCATGGCTAGAAACTCCCCCTTTTGGCTTCGCATGCTACTTTCCTTTCCTCAGTGTTGATGACTTTATTCAAAAATGCCGCGAGGTGTACTTTGCAACAGAAGATTACTCTGACGCCACGTTCATGGTAGCCAATTGCGGCTTGTATCATATCTTTATTGAGTATGGCTTCCTTACGGAGAGCTCACAGATGCGAGCCGATTACCAGAGGTACATCGAGCTTTGTCGGAGAAATTTCGAAACCGTGCTCGCAAGCTTGACATTGTTGATGCCGGCAAGACCGGAGTCAATCGAAGCGCTTACTTTGGGAGTAGGCTATCGGCCCCCTCTTGCTCGGCCAATTCAGCTAACGTTCCTTCTCTTAGGCTGTTCATGCCATTGAAATATCCAAACCTTCGTTTGCCTGGACGCTGACGTCAAATGCAGCTCGGCTGTGTCAGAATCTTGGATATCACCGGAGCTCATCGATGAATCAGATGAGCGACAAGGAGAAAGAAAAAGCGCTTCGGCTCTTTTGGTGTGTTTACTGTCTCGATAGGGGTCTTTCACTCAGGCTAGGGCGCGCATCATCTATACAGGATTATGATATTACTATACCTGAGGAATTTGTCGCCCTCAAAGTCGACGAACCTTGGAAAACAATTTATCACCTATGGGTGAAAGTCGCTGTGATTCAAGGAAAGGTATACGAGCAGCTGTACAGTCCGGCGGCTTTAAGTCGGCCGGAAAGCGAAAGGATACTTTGCGCTCGTCGATTGGCCTCGGAGATGGAAGTAGCCGTCATGGAGCCATTCAAGGTAGGCATTTGTGGAGATCAAGTTACCACAAGGGAAGCTTTTTGATTGACAGATTACTAGAAGCTCGAAAGCTCGTCACATCCTGTATCTGATATTGAGGGCTTCTTAATCAAATCGGATGAAGTCAGCAGGTTGGCTATATTGACTCTGATATACAGAGCGATTCCTGCATCTGGGGACTCCCCCACCACTTTTGTACCCGAATGTATAGAAACAGCTCGGGCTGCGTTGGAGTCGCACCAGATTTGCATGACAAGTTTGACGGAGAGCAACGAGGCTACGAAATGCTCATATCTGCATTGGTGAGTTAGTCAAGCCACATGTGTGTTGTCTCGATGAAGGGATGTCCGTTCTCTGATGATGCTTCAGGTCTATTCTCTATTCCCCGTTTGTCCCTTTCATAGTTCTCTTTTGCCACGTCATTGAGGTCTCCTCTCGAGACGATCTTGCAAGACTCGAAGACTTTGTTTCCTCACTCGGACCGAACTGTTCCCTTTCCGAGGCAATCGCGAAACTCCATAGCCTTTGCCAAGTACTCAGCAACGTTGCGAAGTTATATGTGGAGGCGAGAGCACAGGCCCAAATACAAGAGAACCAGGATCTGGCATCGGTGGGTCAGGAGTTTGATACGTATCTGAGCGCCCTTGGCTTGGCCCCTGCATCAGGAGTCGGCGGTTCCCGTTGGAACCCTGCTGCCTCGGATTCTTTGGCGGCAAGATCTATGCCTGCACTTGAGAACAGCATGGAAGGACAAGTCCTTCCGGCTGGCATCATACCACAAACACAGCTGGGAAACTGGTTTTCTGGAAATCAGCATATGATGGGATTGTTGGAGGAAGATATGTCACTATGGGATCCAGCTACATGGCCTTACTCTTGAAATGTGACAACAAAGGTACCTTAGTTTGCCGAACTGAAACGATTCACTTTAGATTAAATACACTTTCCACCGTCGACGATCATCTCAGTGCCATTGATGAAACTGCCTTCATCACTCGCAAGGTACAAACACATATTCGCCACGTCATCTGGGTCGGTCAACCGGCCGAGGGGCACGTTGCTTATAAACCTTTCACGATTCTCAGGCGTGTCCTCCATGCCGGTGAACATGGAAAACAGACCCGTCCCGGACAAGAGCGGACAGACTGTGTTGACGCGGATATTGTGAGGACCGTACTCAGCCGCAAGCCCTTTGGTGGCCTACTGTTGTCAGCTGGTAGAGTCCAACAAGAATCAAGGACAGGAGCCATACGTTGGATACAGCACCCTTGGATGCATTGTACCACACCAATCCCGGTCGCGGCCTCGAGGCTCCCGTGGAGGAGATGTTGATCATGGAACCTCCTTGGCCCTGCTGGATCAACCGACCCATCAATGCTTTCGATCCCAGGAAGATGCTCCGAACATTGACATTGAACACCCGTTCCCACTCCTCCTCGGTGACTTCCAAAGTGGGCTGTATGGCAGGGACGTCAGCTAAGCGACAGGCAAGCAGTTGTTCATCTGGTAGTCCGAACCTTATTCCGGTATGTGGTTCCCGCATTGTTCACCAGCACATCCAACCGACCAAACTTGGCAAAAGCAAGATCCATGACCTCCTCCCAGTCCGAAGCGCTCGTGACGTCCATCTTGTGGAAGACCAAGTTCTCGGGATTCTGCGCGGCGATCTTCTCTCCGTTCTCGACATTGATATCGGTGAGAATGACCTTGGCGCCCTCCTCACCGAAGCGGCGAGCGATGGCCGCGCCGAAGCCTGAGCCTCCCCCTGTGGACCTGGTTAAAGAGTCTTCACGGTACTGCATGAGTGCTTTGAAGGAACCGAAGGGATACCTGTAACAATGACAACCTTGCCCTGAAGACGGGCACCTGCGGGAGCTTTGGTCATTCTGATTGCGGCGTATGTTAAATCCGAGATATATCAACAATCGTACAGCATATGTCACGTATAGAAAAGGCAAAGAATTAGGCGACACTTATATATACCTAAAGCCTAGAAAGCAAAGAGGGGTCAACTCGTGCGGAGAGACCGTGGCGCAATGCCGACTACCGAGTCCTATCCGTCCTCAGCATCTGCACACACTTCCTCCCACGGGTGATCCAACTCCATCAAACTCGGATATTTTCGAATCTACATATACAAATCCAAGCAGCTATTCAGCTCTTGGTTGCGTTCAAACATGCTGAGCTAAAGACAAATGATGTTGAATTGTGCGGGGTATTTTGCCTCGATAATACGTACCTCCATTCCCCCGGGAAGAAGGCCGCGACACCTACCGGAGTTACTCCATAGCCTGGCTTTACAACGACTGATTAAGGACTGAGGCCGGACTGGATATACCATGTCTCTTCCAGCCCCTGGTGCGTATAGTCCATACCGGTTGACTCACAGGTGTGCACAGGCTCGATTGTCCGATCTGCATTGAAATCGAAGAGACCCGTACAAACGCAAAGCAAAGCACAACCTCAATTCGGATTGGTCTCAGATCAGTCTTTTGGTATAGATTGACCTTGAGGAGCAAGTATCCACTATTTTCATTTCCAATGTATGTTCAATCATCCAGGTATAGAATAATTACAATGACCGTTATGGAATGTTCATCAAGAGTATTTCGGTAGAAGTGAGAAGTGAGAAGAAAGAATAAAGATGGCGAGGGTATCATCCGCGGTAGCCAATTTTAACCAACGTAAAGAGTGTACCTGCTTTCGGCCCCAAAAACGCATGTCGCTCTCATTAAATAGGTACCAGGCCCTTACTGAGTCGTTACCGACGTCGACACGTCCACCGTCTTCATGATACCCATAGATTCCGACGGCACCGTCCGATGCGTCGATGTAGCGCCCCGAATAGACGTCTCGATCTTCGGTTCCCCCTGCGCGTTGTGCATGAGGATCTCCTGGTCGGACCCGGTATCCATGTAACTCATCTGGTGTTTGCTCCGGCTGCTCCTCCTGTCCGTCCGGCTCTGTTTCGTCACCTTGCTGAGTTCATGTGTGGAGGTATTCGTGGCTTTGTTGCTTGAGTATTCGTGGTAGACTCGGCTGATCAGAGCGGAGAGGGCGGGGAGGCAGGCGCAGATGACGCCGATGGCGATTTCGGCGTTTCTGTGAGAAGAAGTTGCTGGTTAGTGCTTGAGGTTGTGGAATAGTGTGTGTGTGTGTACTATTGTCGGGAGGGAAAACGCACCCAAACATGTTGATCCGCATAAACGAGTAAGTCCCGTCCTTTGACTGGCCGGTTTTGAGAATGAGGATGAGACGGACTACGCTTGACGCGCAGGCTAGCCCTCCGGCACCCAGGATGCCCATCACGCGCAGCTTCTTTCTCATGGGCATTTGTAGACTCAGAGTGAGCGGCAGGGGGACGAGGAGAATGGTGATGTCGCTGACTACGCTGACGACCGCGTCCGCGAGGATAATTGCCGACTGATCCAGGCAAGTGCCTGGTGTCGAGTCGTCCCAGAATTTCGCAATCGGGTTGCAGATGCGGATTTTGACGATGACGGCGGGGATATAGTAGAGCAGCATGATTACTAGGAAGACGTAGATGAAGAGGACGGCTTTGCGGTAGGGGCTGAACACCCTTGTCATGATCCAGAGTAGTGACACTTTGGTCAGGAATGCCGTGGGTCCGTACATGACCATCGTCACGTAAACGGTCTACGGTGGTTGAGGTCAGGAACTAATGAATCTGTTAAGAAGATATGGGGGAAAGCAATCAGACCTTTTGAAAAGGGATCAGGTCGGATTTTGGCACATCATCCTGATGCAGTCCACCCCCATAATGTCCCACTGCGGACTGTTAGCTACCAGGGTCGCAATCGGGATGACCGATACTGACTGATGAGGGCGATGACAGAGTACATGACTCCGAGGAACTATCTCTCCCACCCGTGTCAGTACGGATAGTCATATAAGCGAATTGTTGAGGAAATTGTATACCCAAGCGCCCATGCAAGTCCCTGTACGATCGTCAGTCTTTCTCACAATAGGTTAAGCAAGTATTGACCACGCACAGTCTTCCTTCCCGAACCCGTGAAGAATGAAGCGTCGAGTGTAGACGCGCAAACCAAAGAAGAAAGTCATGGCCACAATGCATAATGTCTGGGTCGCTGTATTCCAATTCTGCGTCGTCTTGTCCACGGAATCGCCAGCATCTCGCCCAAGCAACATTGCGAGAGCCATAGTGATGGCTCCCACAGTACACCTGAACAAGAGATACCTAGTTCTGGCTCTGATTAAGGAAAGCTTGAGCGCGGAGAAGAAGGAACATTCAAAGGGGGATGGATCTATGACATGACGGATCAGATATGAATGCTACTTGTATGAAACGGCACTGTGGACTACTACCTATTCACCCATGAGGAATAGACTAGACTATCATCTAAGAGCGTTGTCTCTGCAGATTCTCCATTCTTCAAGATCGATTTGGTAGTTGCCAGTTCCACACCCCTGACCTTAGGGACAGACGCCAACCGTCCAAGCACCACCAGAATGGTAGACTTGACGATCGATGGTAACTTGGAATCATCCGTTCAGTCCCTAATTCTACAGGTATCAGCCGAAAAGTTCCTGCAGTCGGAAGAAATTGACGATCAGGGAAGTAAGAGTACCCCATTGGCCTGGCCAATAATCCGTAACCTGAGGACTTCATGTAATGATACACATCACTGACAAAATTAAAGATGCTCCATAATCCGCCTGGCGTTCTACCCACTTGTAAATTTCTACAACAAGGATTTCGAGGAAAGTAACATCATTTCATTGGAATGAGGTTGTCCGCCGGCATCATTCACTGAAAAGCAGGACGAGCGTTGGCCTCTTGCCAGAACCTGATCCATGATAGAGCACGGAAATCCTACCTAGCTCTTGGACAGGAAGTAGGGAAGGTCCTTTCACAACCATACGGCATGTTCCCGTCCGGTTTACTCTCTTCCGGCGATATGGATGGAACCATCATACTGGACTACAGTAGTTAGAGTGCTGGACCGTATACCAGATACGGCAGATGGCGTTTAACTTACCAGTGCCTAGGCACTATCTGATGAAGTCTACAGGGTAATAATATTCCCATGCTGCGCCCAAAATTCGGCCAGGATTCGGCCGGTCTCAGGCTAGTTGACGAAGACCAGACGGGGGTTATCCGCTGAGAAGAGACAAGACAGTTGTCAGCCAAGAGAAATTGATTGGGCTAATAAACTGCTCAGAGCAGGGTTAAGCTGTCGACGAAATGACCGAGAAAGTCAATTCCGTTGAGCTGCTGGTCTTAGTCCTAGAGTACAGAGAACTTCACTCTTACTCCGTACAGTAGATAGATCCGATCCCATCTTGGATGCATGGACCCTATCTTAGTACGAAAGTAATCAGATGGTTCATCGCGATAGCAGAACCATGGTAGACTGGTAGCACAAGGCCTAAAGCATGGACCGATGAGAACAGCTTTACTGGAGTCGGAGGCATCAATATTCAAGAAGGCCCAAAAAGAAAAAAGGAAAAAAAATTTCCCTTGTACTAATGATGATCATTAGTGTTTCTCTGACATGTTTCTCTGACAAAGGCATCTACCTTCATGCAAGCTTCATAAATCATACCCCTGTTACTTACATTGTTACGACCATGGTCTCTACGGAGTAAGGCCAACAATACCTTACCTATAATCCCCACAGTGGAAGCCACAGCGGAAATCGGGGCCCACTTGCCGTCCGCCGCGCCGCCCCTAGCGGTGACTCTTACCTGATTAGGGTAAAGATTGGAAGGTGGGTATTACCTTCACTGGAGTGTAACAGTAATTTATGTTATCACAGCAGTAACTTTTCATGATAGTTGATCATCAAGGTTATTTTACCCAAGAGTTTACAGATATGTGAATCCATCAAATTCAATGAGAACTCATACTGTTGTCATAATCTGTGATATCTACATTCTACTCCAGCATCCAAATATGACTTTCAACTGACGGTATTCTGAGCACAGGTGACAGTTCTCATGAAGAACAGGGAAATTTCAAGTGGAGGGACTGCAATAGTGGCTCAAACTACTGTGACTAGCTTCGGACGATAAACTCTAACCTGCCTGACGTCTGTCGATCACTTGTGATCACCATCACAAAATGAGCATGGCGTGGTCTTCAGAGCACAGGAGTTGTTTCAGGCCTCCCCGATGGAGGTTCAAAACAACTGGATTTCCGAAGGCGACGTCGTTCTTTCAGTCTCTCTTAGGTGGTGGAAGCAGGATTCAGTGTGTCGATTTGCATGACTAGTACTTTGAATTGTCGGGGGTAGCCTCATTGTCATCTTAATCCCCGGCTGAAACAGGCCTCAGTCCAGTGTCAACTCCGAAGTCTGTCCCAACTCCCAAGGTAAGTCCTGACTCGACTCCCCGAGTCCCAGGTCGTGTGTCTGTGGCGGTTCAGAATTTTCCGCCTGGGAGGTTGAGTGGTTGACTTTGCACTTGCAGGGGTACTGTGGGCCCCTTAGTCTCTTGGTACTTGGTAGGTAGGTCCAGACGTAAAAGTACTGGAAGGATTGCCGTTGTGTGACTTGTGTCTTCGCCTCGGGGAGTTCCATTGGTATCTGACTGCAGTTTCACATTTGGAGTTATCAGTGATGGAGAGATTGCGTGATCTTCTCCTATTCCAGCTACCATCAAATCAGAACACATGGATAGTCTCAACCAGGATTGAGGAGTGGACCGGTGACTCTGGTCATCCCTCAGCATTTACTTATCCCGTACAGTAGTACTCCGTAAACCCGACTGGCCTACTCCGTGCATCGGCTTCAGACCGTGGAGGAAGGGATAAAACCATGATATGTCTCCTATTAGACTTTTTGATTGTCATTCCTCGATATCCTGCCAAGGCTCGTGGTTTGCATGGTCATACCATCGTAGCCTTACTAGCCTAGCATACCCAAGGTGTTTCTGAATAACCAATTTCCTCCCTGCCAGTCTTCTAAAAGATTGCCATCATATTTGGAGGAGATGACACTCCACCAGGCATGTTCAATGGCACCGAGGCGACGAAGAAACTCCAGCGCTGGAGCTCCTGGCATGTGCGCGAGAGCGCTTCCAGATCGAAAAGCTCCCCTGTTTTATCAGTAGCATCAACCGTTAGCACTTCAATCTCTCACTCTGTGGTCTTTGCCGAGACCTGCTGTCTCACTGATCAAGATGGTTAACTTACCAATCGGCATTCCCCATCCGGCAAGCACATACTCATGCAAGAACACGTCAGGATTCTGGGGCGGATAGACCTGTCATGTCACCATGTGTCAGCTGAAGCCACACATTCCCTGTTTCCAACGGTCATGTCTCACCTCCCAGCTGATCGCATCACTAGCGATCGCCGCAAACCCAGTATTCCACAGCCATCGAAGCACGTCAGTGGTTGCTTCGACTCCTGCGTGCTCTGGGCTCGGGTTATCCGAGTACTGCTGCTTCTGCGCATCGGTCATGATAGTATCCCATTCCTTGGTAACCCCAACTCGTACAAAAAGGATGTCGCCCTTTTGAAATGTGATGTTGCATTCTTTGGCGATCTCCACAATATCCGACAAGCGCACCTGATGGGTGGAGAAGGTGGTATATCTGATCCCCTTATTCTCTGCCCATGTCGCGTAATCAATCAAGACTCCGCGTCCTAGATTATGTAATGAGTGACTAGATTTCATTAACACACGAGTTAGAGCTTACCGGCAATTCCCTCCTTCGCCCAGTGCTGCAGACCGATTCGATTGTTCTTACGGTCATTGATCTCCTCAACAGTCGTGCCACCATAGAATACACGCTCTTTCTGCCCTGGAACCGTCTGAGAAAAGTGTCTTAATCCATCCCATTGACTACTCTGCTCTAGAATAATGACCGTCAGTCCTGAAATTTCGGATCTAGGCTTGGCAAGACCTACGAGGATTCATCGTATAAATATCATCAAACGCGACTCCGCCAAGCAGCGGAATGATCTGATGATTGCAGGGCTGTCGGTTCAGATTCGGATAATCAAGCTTCGTCATATCCCAATTCATTGTCACTCGTCGGCCGGTCTTGATCTCAGCTGCAGCTGCCTTGGCCACCACTTCTGGGGTTAGAATGGCGAGTTTTCCCACTCCCTCTTCGTAACTCCCCGGCTTTCCAACCCAGACTTGTCTGGGGTTGGGGAGTTCATCGAAAGGAATATCCCAGGGAGAGTAACTTCCCATGATGCGATTGTCTAGAGGTAATTTCGGGACGAGATAAGTTGAAGACAAGACTATCTAGTGTTGAGTTTAAGGCCCATGGCATGTAGATTTGTTCTGCAGCATTCTACCTCTATAGCCCACTAGCCGGAGTAACTATCAAGCGATGGAGGGGTCAAGGAGGGGAACGTTGGCGAGATTGTCGGCCCTAGTCTGCAGGATTGTATTAGATAAAGCGGTGTCAGCACTCAAATCACTACCTAGTAGTCTAGACTCAAAATACAGACTTCAGACGCGGAATTTGAAAGCCGCTCTGGGATTCTGAGTTCAGACACTAATGGAGGACCAATTATGTAAGGAGTATGGAGTAGTGCCGGTTCTTGATGTCTTCAGCCAGTAGTAGGCTCGAAATGATAACGAAGCGAGTCTCTCGAGATCCATCTCTCAATTTGGACAGAGATTGACGCTTATAAGAAGGTTAAAACCTGAGCAGTAAACCCAATGAAGCCCTGAGTCAATTGAATCGCAACAGGGGCACTTTTGGTCATGTGGCATGTCACTTGTCGATAGTCGTCTCTAGAACATAATAATCAAATTCAATAATGAATGGCAAAGATGATATAAGGTAGTATTCTTGAACATAAGAGGAAGAGTGGAAGACAACGAGAACGCCGGGCAATTTCCGTCACGAACCATTGTAACAACAATACATACAGTCCGGTAAGATAAGTAATCGAAATACCGGGATTGTGGGTGGGGCGGGTGTTAAAGGGAGGGGAACCTAGAATGATAGTAACATATGATTGGCTATAATTGCGACTGCAAACCCCAATAAGTCTTAGCGTGACTCCGCCTGTGCTTGGCGGTGGCCGCCCTGCCTCTGTCAATCATTTCACCCACCCATATCCCCGTACATGGGAGAGTGTACTACGAGTCTACGACTAAGAATTGCAGTCTAGCTATGGTCTAGGAGAAATCTATGCTCAATAGCGAAGAAGTCAATCCTCTCGACCGAATCCTCAAGGCTCAAGCTTTCCTTTCTCATCAAGCTGCAGCAAGTGGACCCGGACTCCTTCGCCAATGATGTACAAAGTATGGAGTCCATCTCATGCAAATGAGGCCATTCTCATGCTGGATCGACCAGCACGGAGCAACCGAAGGGGAGAGCTCCCTTCGTGTTCTTCTTCCAAATCGGTTATCAGAGCTAATGCAAAGGCAATAAACGCGTGGGTGATAGTATAGACTAATGGACGCATGGCAGCATGCATGGCTTGAATGTCTGGAGCATTCTTGGTGCTTGGTATCAGAATTTTCGGTTTCGACAAGCGAATCACTTGTTATCTTGATGCGGAAGCTACTTCAACCGTGACCTCTCCCGATATTGATCTTCTCTTTTCTCCCCTAGAACAGTACTTGAACAGTCCGAGGGGCAGGATCAGAAAATCAGGAGTCTGACTTCCCTCGTGCAAGGCCCGCCCGGTCCTCCCCGCTTCCTGCACTTTTTTTTTCTTCTTTTTCATACAGGTCATATCTACAGGGGTCAATTCCTGCATTTGAGGCTCAGCTTGGACGGCTTTGTGTAAAGATTCTGACTCAGTATGGGGACTTTCGGCTCACAGACCAGTACCTATAATAGGCTGGTTACGATATTTGTGGCTGTTGGGTCGATGGTCAGTACTTGCGGCCCCTGGGCTATATCTGACCATCTTTTGCATCGGCTAATCTGCTCTTCAGACCTATGGTTACTGTGCTTCCATCATCGGTAGTACAATTGGGCAGCCGGGATGGTATACCTTCTTCAAGCTCCCTGCCGAGGGGGAACCGGGATATGCCTCGATCACAACTCCGGCTATCTCGACAGCTAATGGTGTGTTCAGCGCCGGAGGTGCTGTCGGCACATTGTTCATCATGTGGTCGTGCGATTACTTCGGTCGTAAGGTGAATATCCAGTTCGGTGCCTTCTTCTCCCTCTTCGGTGGCGCGCTTCAGGCTGGTGCAAACTCGCTCGAGTAAGTCCCAACTCGCAATCTTGGTCGAGGCATAGCTGACAGCGACCAGAATGTTCCAAGCGGGTCGGTTCGTTTGCGGTCTCGGTATTGGTATCCTGGTCACGGTGTGTCCCATGTATCTTTCGGAAATGTCGAGTGCGTTTCGCCGTGGCTGGCTTGTCGGTCATCACGCTATCTTCCTGGTCTTCGGCTATATGCTTTCTGGTTGGGTTGGCTTCGCATGCTACTATGCCGAGGGCATTGGTTCGTTTGGCTGGAGGTTCCCACTCGCCCTTCAGTGTCTGCCGCCTCTTGTGCTCCTCATCGGATCCCCATGGCTTCCTCGCTCTCCCCGTTGGCTCATCTCAAAGGGCAAACACGACGAAGCTAAGGTCGTCTTGGAGCGGCTGCGTCAGTCCCCAGATGACCCCGACAACCTGGTCGCGAAGGAGGAATATTACCAGACTGCAGAGCAGATTCGCTTAGAAGCCGAGAGGCTGTCCGAGTACGGCAATGTGTGGAAAGCAGTTTTGAAGAAGAAGTCGTACAGAAAGCGAATGGTGATTGGATTTCTAACCCAGTGGGGAGCGGAATTTGGTGGGCCATTGATCATTGTTAGTCTTCTGATTGCCAAGATTGAACATAAGCACTTACAATCCGATAGAACAATTACGCTGTTCTATTATACACAAATCTCGGCATGAAGGGCGGAATGCCTTTGCTCCTGAGCGCAGTGTGGTTGACGACAGCTGGTGAGTCCATGTCACACAGCTTTTGACTGCATAGCTTACTCCTGCAGGTCTTATTTACAACCCCCTGGGGGCTTGGCTTCATGACAAGGTCAACTCGCGGCGCCGTATGTACATCATCGGTTTTGTTGGAATCATTATCACCACTTCTTGTTTGGCTGCAATGACCGCTGAATATGCCGGCACAACAAACAAGGCCGGAAACGCCTTTGGTATTCTTTTTATATATCTCTACCTGGCATTCCAGGGGTAGGTTTCTCCGCAATGCTTTTGCTGTGCGACACTAATTCGATGCACAGAACTTTCTGCGACACGACCATGTATCTCTATGTCTCTGAGATCTTCCCAACCGAGATCAGACCCATAGGCATGGGATTCTCTCTTTTTGGGCAGTTTGCTGGTATGTTCACATCACTCGTACGGTCCTAACGACAACTGACACGACGCAGCTACCCTGCTCTTGCTTCAGACTGCCCCTATGGGCTTCAACAATATTGGCTGGAAGTACTATCTTGTCATCATTTGCTGGTCTGCTTTCTTCATTCCAGGTAAGACGGACATGCAAGTGCTCGTCCGACATGCAGCTAATTCCTGAAAAGTCATCTACTTCTTCTTCCCAGAGACCGCCCGCCTGACCTTGGAGGAGATAGCAAAGAACTTTGGCGAAGAAGTTGCGGTTCATCTCACCGACGCGACCGATGAAGAGAGAGCCCAGCTGGAGCAAACGTTTGTCGACCGGTCAGACAGTGTGCCATCTGAGCCAACCAAAGAGGTTGAGGAGCCAAAGGCTGCTTAGAGCTTGGATATGGACCCTTGGACCTCAATCATGACATTCATTATATAGTAAGGGTCCTTGTTGCAGGTTGCACAAAGTACGCCGCTAACTGACCTAAATACAGTCTGATTTTGCTTTAATGACAGCGAACACAAGGTTGTCTGTGCCTAAGCTTCTCCATCTCGAGGACAGATTCAAAGATAGAATTATGCTACCACTGCATTTTTGCTCGAGCAACGCCAGTGATTGGATTATGCGGGTGCAGTCACACCATTACTTTCCTTCACGACCGATAGATCCGATGCCTATACCCTCTTTTGATGTGTACACATAATGATAATCAGGATGAAAAGATTGGAGTCTGTTTTCAGGCAGCCACTAGACTATTTTTGCGCTGGGGAACAGGCTAATCTCATGCAAACGGACGACAATGTCTCAATCCTGCAGTCACACTTGCCGGGTCAACTTGAAACATGATGCTCAACGGCTACGGCTACAAATGGCGGCCTTGCTATGCCTAGCTTCTCATAATTAGCAATGTCTAAGACATCAATAATTTCATCATCCCCAATCGATATATATCACCGGATCTACATCATGATTTCCCCTTCTTGACAGATAGTACAGTGACGATGCAATATTAGCATCTACATAACAATGAACTAACCAATATTGTGAATAAAGAATGTCCTCGGCGAGGATACAATGACCTCATGTCTCACTTGATGTGGAGAAACTGGAGAAGTATCTCCTGCCCTCAACTCCCCTGATCTCCTCACTACTCGGTTCGCCTCCGAGGCACACGGAGTATAAAACCAGCCTCAGGACCTCTGCAGATAGGAACATCCCAACAAAACAGTAGAGACTATAGAAGCCAGCAAACATGAAGCTCACCACCCTCCTGTCCCTTGCCCCCCTTCTCGGCGCAGCAACAGCAACCGCCCAGACACAACAACACCCCTTCACCCTCAATATCCGCTGGTCCAACAGCCCCCTCAAGGGGCCCCTGAACGCCAACGGCGGCGCCTTCTGGACCGGCAAGCCGACAGCCGCGTACTGCCCGGACAGTGTCCCCAAGTGCCCCGCCGTGAATGCCACGTCCTTCGTCGCGCAGGAGGGGAAGCTGTACTTGAATACGGCTGTGCCGGGGGGTCAGCAGGGTATGCATTCCCCTTCCCTTCCCTTCCCTTCCCGTTGCGTTGCGTTGCGTTCTTGATGAGTCGTTGGGTGGTGCTTGGGTGCTTGGAGGTGGATGAGGCTAATGATGATGGAATGGTTGTGTGCAGTTTACATCTCGCCGCAGGGTGAATTGACCTACACGGTCCCGCACAGCGCGTATATCCCCGAGGGCTCGCTGACGGATCTACCCGTCTTCCCGACGAGCTCGTTCCTCAACCCGTTTCTGACGCTTTGGTTGTGCGATGTGGATGAGAGCGCGGCGGAGTGGAGGGTTTGGGCTGATTATACGAATGCGACTACGGGGTCGATTACGAACAATGGGCTGACGGGGGCAAATGCTTGTACGCGGATTGCGCTGGAGGCGAAGCCGTACGATGGGTCTAAGGCTTGGTCGTTTGCGTGAGGTTGAGCTTGTTTTTTTGGCTGGGTTGAAGTCTGAGAAGGATGGGTCGATTGTGTAAGATAGATTGGATTGTATGACAAAACCTTTGGCCTTGTTAGTGGGTTGTCTGTGGTAGAGTCTTCGCGGCAGAATTGCTTATTCACTTGAGAACCGGTTCATCTTATCTGATTATCGCAGGTATGGTAGAGAAACCTTCGCTTGGGCCAAATTGGGCATCAAGAAGTGTCTCAATCAAGATCCACTCAATGAGAAGAGGCGTGAGGGACTAGGCTCTCGTTTTCTTCGCCTCGTAGCTAAACGAGCCTCCGGATGCCCCGGAGTCACTTCGGAAGCCTTTAGGCAGCATAAAATATGTTGTGGAGGGCAGCACAATGCTAGGCGGCCGACACAATCCGGAATAAGGTACAGTATAGGACCATTAAACCTTTTGAAGACAAAAAGGCGATCTTGTCGGAATAGGAATGGTATCATCATAGCATAAACTTCACAACGGAGTCGTTGCTCATCAGTTGACAGATAGCTGGGTACCGGGCGCCTTGCCTGCGACACCCATGCCTGGCCGGCTCATAGATTCGAAGATCGAAGTCTTCAACTGCCAAAGCCTTCAATGGAAATGACGATAGACAAGAAAGAGAATTCCACACCTTTCCGTAAATTGAAAGAGTGATTTCCCGGAGGAGAATCGTCGGAGCTATAGCCTAGGTGTTCCAATAAGCTCTCGGGAACGGGGTAATCTCGTAGCGAGGCCATATGTAAGCTATTTGAATTTCCAAAGGTGCAAGAAGCCTATGATTCCCGTGCCACGGTCGACTCTGCCTCGTGCGAAATAGGAGACGACCGGTTGAAGTTGCATTTGATATTGACGGTGATGGCCAGTAGTCCAGAAACGCGTTCACATGACAGGTTACACATTGCCCAATTTTTGCATGTCGAGAATTCTAGAAATGGTGTTATCCATATTCTCAACACAGTAATCGGAAGAAGGGACTATTCGAGTATCTCAGCTAATGCCATATGTTGCTGTCAAATCTAGTATCTAGTCGTGACTGTGCTCGACATGAAGCCAATGTGGCCTATCAAAGAGAGTTGTCGCTTTCGGAGCCAAACCGACGCAGAAATGCTAAGACCATGGAAACAAGCTTAAGGGGTCCATGGTAGAACTCAAAGATGACAGCAATGGCTTCGATAACTTGTGTTCAGACTTCAGTCCCACCACAAGGACAACAGCGATCATGGAAAAGCAAGATTGACCATCTGAATTCGAGAATCGAGGCAATTGCCCCAGTCCCACCATTCCTTTCGGATTGACAATGATCAGGTTAAACAAGCTGTGGTGAGTTCGCAGTGAATGATGGAAACTTGATAACGCAAGAGTCTTGGCGTTACATTGACTTTGGAGGAACAGAAAGCCCGGGGTCCTACCACCCGTTTCAAGGTGACTTTGACCTTGAAGTTGAAGGCTAATTCTCAACGGTGTCGTTTGCAGTTGCACCTGAAAGCATGGTAGATTTACCTATCTAACCGGAACAGTCTAATAATCCAGACTCAATCAAAATACCAGTGACGACAGGGGCCCCCCTGAGTCCAAGTTCTGTTCGTAATTGACGACTATTTAGATAGTCTGGCTGCAGGGAGATATGTCCTCTTCGAATCAGAGACAAGCAGCCAGACACTTCTTTCAGTATAGACTCAGCATTAGACTGCTTTAGTTTCGCAGGGATTCCAACGCGCTTGGCATTCTAGATAGCCAGGCCGATAAGGAACAGGCATATTTGAGGGAGAATCCAGCATTCGAGGATGTGAGTCGTAGAGAGCCAAGGAAGTTGAAAGGATGCCCATGGAACTCAGTCAAAGGCTCAAAGGATGATTGATATCTGCTATCTTGAAGGAAATCTGAATCCGGACATCATTTGTTCGCGACCGTGTGGAGAGTGGCCCACTGGTCCCAGACAGACTCAGGGATCCGAGCCACGGAGCGACGAACAAGACACGGGTAAGATCGGGGCTTCAGGGAAGTGGGAACTGAAAGTCTCGAGTCTCGAGTCGAATCACGAATAATAATGGCTAAATGAGGCATTTTTTCCCTCTCAGGCACTTCTAGAGATGCACAGGTTAACCACCAACTGACTAGACTGAGGAACGGAGTAGATACTCGTGGATAACCTTGCCAAATGGTCCACGAGGCACGAGGACCACGAGGCGGAATTGGCACAGCATGATCACCCACTAGGGTCGATCATTAGTATCACCACACCGTCATCCTCATCCACTGGCAATGGCTGGGGTCCTGGAGCTGGAACTGGAACTGGAATTGGTTTGGGGACTGGTTCTGGAACTGGGAAGTCTGGGACTGGGAGACATACGGATCGACTTCATCCCGAGAGGTTGATGATCATGGAAGGACAGAAGTGGAGTTTGTCCGTCAATAATAATGAGTCTCTTGAGTCTTAGTCTTAAGGGGGTGAGGGTGAGGACTGCAGGTGGAAGCGGACAAAAACTTTGGCGATCTCCGGTAAATCTTATGTCCAGTTCACTTGGTAATAATAATAATACTAATAATAACGTGGACTTATGAAGGCTTGAAGCTGAAGCTGAAGCTGAAGGGGTTACTGCGTCCGGGAATCCCCAGGATTTGTCCCCTCCCCAAGGAAAAGAAGAAAAAAAGTGATGAGCGTTCCAACTTCCAATTTCCCCCGCCAGATCCGGTGATTCGCCGCCTTCTCTCGCTTTCTCCTCCGACAGTCCTCTCTTCAACTGATCGCAGCCCCCCCCTCATCATCATCATATTGCTTTTTCATCTACCCTTTTCGCATCCTTCCATTCTGTCCTTACTATTATTGGAGGGTGTATGTATCACTTCACTAACAGTGTGTCTTTTTGCTTCTGTCGGGATTTTTAGCTATGGTTGTTACCGTTCGAATCGATCGTTAATTGTGACCGACTTTGGCTTATATCTTCCGGTCAAACCACTGGCCTTCTCTGCTTCCTCCTATATCGTCAGCTTCATGTCTCTGCCTCTTAGTTCGGTATCGTGCTTGATCACGTCTCCTTCTCATGGAGATGCATACAGTGGTGTATCCCCCCGGAAAGTCTGCCCCTCCGCCAACTGCACAACCCCAGCCCGCCGAGGCTCCTGCGCCCGAAAAAAAGAAGCGGGTACGTCGATGGCACCGTCGGGGGTTTACAGGTTGTTTAACCTGTAGGCGACGTCATGTTCGTTGCGACGAGGCCTCTCCTTCGTGCAAGAATTGTACTCGGTTAGGTCTCGATTGTGATGGAACTCAAGGTCGAATGACTTTTAAGGTGTACGGCCCATCGCAAGGTGCACAAGAATTATCCCAGAGTCCGAACAATATCAGCACGGCGAATGCAATAACGGTCAAAAATCAGCAACTGGATATCAAACAAGTCAAGCAGGAGCCCCAAGACGACAAGGATGATTTCATTGATGGCATAGTGATTTCTCCGACGACCATTTCCGACCCAGCTCCGGTCAAATTTCGATTCCAAGAACCCATTTCTCCTTCAGGCTTCATGCCCTCTTCGTTAGATTTCGTAGAGGGCCGCTATTATACCCATTTCATCGAACAGGTCTCAACGTTGCTCCTTATCTACGATAATTCGAATAGCATCAACCCTTTCCGACAATACTTTCCCGAACTCGCCCAGTCTTCGCCATCCATGGAAAGCGCCATGCAAGCGCTTGGTGCGTTGCACCTCGCAAATACGTCGACAGGCCCACAGCGCAATGTACATTTTCAGCAAGCAATGGGCAAGTACGGAGAGGTGGTAAAGTCCTTTAGGACAAGGTACACACATCTCGAACATGAAGTTCAAATCACAGACTTTGCAACTTGTCTCTTGCTGTCCTTATTTGAGGTAGGTCACTCCGCGACTGCACCCGTTAGCTCCTCACTAACCTGGTTATTTAAATCAGATGATGGATTCTGGACACGATAATTGGGCGATCCATCTTAAAGGCGCTCGCGAGATCTACAAATCGTTATTCCTATCGAAGAGAAGCGACCCGGCAAAAGAAGCCCGACGGCTAGCGGAATCGAATCATCCCCTTCGACATTTTCTCATTTCCCTTCTCTCCTACCTCGACGTCGCGGGCGCATGTAATACCAGTGAAGGCACTGTAGTGGAAGGAAGCTACTGGAGGACACACGGAGGCGGATGGGAATACAATCTAGGCACCCCGAGTCTCTCGTCGAACACGGCCGGCGATAACCGTTTGAACGAGCTCCGGCAATGCTGGTCCATCATGATGGAGATTCAAGCCGCCATTAGCGCTTTTGGCAAAGCGAAACATGAGAAGTGGCTCTCGCCTGAGCAACAAGACGTCATTTACGGTGACTTGCTGAATCGCCTCGTTCAATGGCGCGCCAATGCACCGCAATGCATCCAGCAGCTCGGCGAATTAGACGATGAAAGCCTACAACAATACCAATACCCGGAAATCATGGAGTATGCCGGATGCATCGAGGCCTATGAGAAAGCGACAATCATCTTCTTGCACAAAGTGATCGCGGCTGAGCGTCCCGATCGTCCTCCCCAGACACCGTTCCTGCAAATCCTGGCCACTCGCATACTCAATCTGATCAAGAAGCTTGCGAAGGATGTCGGTCAGCTGGCAGTGATGTGGCCACTCTTTATTGCTGGGCGAGAGACCCGAGATGAAATTCAGCAGAAGGCAGTACGCCAAACAATGATTGACTGCCGGCGGTTCGGATTCAAGGCACGTCGGCCCGATATCCCGTTGCTCAAGCTGACACATGAACTAACTCGATATATAGAATGTCGACAAAGCCCTCGAAGAACTAGAGAGAGCGTGGTTTAAACAACGCGCTTTTCCGGAAGGTTGGGTCGACAGGATGGATGATATTCGCACATCGATCCTTCTCCCGTGAAAGATCGCTTCTAGATTCTCCGCGCCACCTCTTTTGGTGCTTCTTGGTACTGGATCAGCATGGCTCGGACGGAAATTCCAGTTGATTCGTTTGCTTCTATTAGCGATGTGTGGGTTCCTCGGTTTGGTTTTCGCTATGGCGGGCGTTCGGTTGGGCTGGGCCCTTACGACTTTGATTCATGAATTTTTCCCTTCCTGGTTCAATTCTCATTCTGCGGACACTTGGTGTCTGTTATCATATATAGGACTGTTATTTACCGGCGGGACGGAGGGAAGGACATATGGGTTCATTTAGGGAATATGCAATAAGGAATAGACAGGGTGGCTTTGTTCACCCTCCCATCATCACATTAGCCTTCTCAAATCTAATTTTTTTATTCACGCTATGATATATGCGTTGCTGAAACTCTTCTGCAGGCCACCCAAAATCACTATCCGTGGGAGTATATACTGCTTTTAGATAATGTACAGTCGACCTCGCTCAAATCACCTTATCACTGCGAAGCGGTTCCCTCGTGCTCCGCCCTCCTCGACGAAGCGATCTCCTCCACCGTCCCGGAGACGGCGCCCTTGCTGTCAATGAAATGCGAGATGCGGTTCCGGGGTAACCAGGCTTCCTCGGGCATGACGAAGTACGAGATGAGAGCGAGGATCGTCACGCCCGCCATGATGATGGGGGCATCTGTTCAAACAGAAAACATTAATACACCACTACAGATTAAGACGAAGAGAGGGACAAAGGATGCGGTATCTTACAGTTCAGATTCTCCCCCGTTACGGGAAACGCATATGGGGAGAACAGGATCGCCACGACCCAGGCGTTCCAGAATACGCCGATGAACTGGAAGGGTTTGCTTAGGCGTCCCAGACTCCACTTTGGCTTGGGGAACCGGTTGGGCGTGCAGAGGAGACGGCCGAGGCAGATGAGGCCGTATGCGGCGGCGCTGGGGACACCGGCTGCGGAGACGAGGGATGTGAAAGCCACGCTTGACGGGAGGAGGGTGCAGGTGACGAGGGCGGCGACGGTCCAGACGACGATGACGGCGTTGCGGGGCTGGCCCACGTGGACGCGGGAGACCCAGCCGGAGAAGGGGAGGACTCCGTCACGGGCGACGGCGAAGACGAGACGCGAAGCGGCGACGATGGCGATGGCTGTGTTCTGCAGAGGGGTCAGAGTGTGCTTCGGGGGTACGGTGAGTGGGAGACGGCTTACAAGCCACAGAGCCACGATGCAGATGATGTTCATGAAGACGTGGCCGCCTTTGCCGAGGACAACGGCGTATAGGGGCACAAAAGGCTGGGGAGAGCCAAACGAGAATAGCGTGTCGGCGTCCGGCTGGAGCAGGTCAGTATCCTATGCGTATCTGAATGGAGGTGAACAAACCGCGCAGAAGAGGAAAAGAATGATAGTCGCCAATCCGCCGACTCCACTTGCGACTGTACTCCAGAAAATACCACGAGCCGCTGTGACAGACGCGTTCTTGGTCTCTTCCGCAACGTGACCCGAGGCATCAAATCCAATCAAAATACCTGCAGTTGCCAAGTAGGAAAGACACCAGTTCCAGGCGGGCGGGGCGCCGGTACCGTTATAGGTGGACATGAAGGCTTCGTGGGCAGTCCGGAAGCCCCAGGTGTTGTGAGCGCCGATCGGAAGCCAGATGATGTTGAGCAAGAAGTCCAGCAAGACCATTGACGACGATAGGTAGAAGATGAATCGGAAGTATTTGGCTAGAAGAATGAGTACACGCTAAAGGACAAGGGTTTATCACGATCAGTTGGAGCTACGCACGAGGCAAAAAATTGATCAGTGCAGCCAACGCGAGCAAGATCTCGGTACAAATCCATTGCACTGCCCGAAATTTGACATCACCAGTGTCAGTAGGAAAGTCAACGTTGAAGACTGTCAACTCCTGTTGAAGATAGGTCAGCTTAACTCCTGACTACCTCTTGAATGCACTTGCAAGCTTACCGAGAGCATGTAGTTCACAGCGGCTTGAGTGTTGCTGGCGCAAAAGGTAGTCCAGGCCGTGGTACTCCACCAAGCAACCGTGAAACCAAGAAGTCTTCCGAATCTAGGGCCGCCAGCTTCCGCAGCCCACAGGTAGATTGAGCCTGCAGATGGGGACGCAGAACATACTTCCGCGATGACCGCGGCGGTGATGAATGTGAAGACCATAGTAACCAGATAGCTCGTCCTACTCATTGTGAGTTTCCATATATCGGAAAGAGGCACCCTTGACTTACCAATAGGCTAGATTACCACCAGCTGCAATACCAACACTGAACGTCACTCGAACTCCACCAACGAAGTAGAGCGCAGCTGATCATGGTATGTTAGTGATGTGGGGAAAGAGTGCTTTGATAAGGAGCATATCTCACCAAATGTCGTCGAAAAGTTCTCAATCAAACTGTACGTCCGATGAAGCACCTGGGCATTGTTGTAAGCACCAAAGCTCCACCTATAAGATTGTCGATCATGAAGCTTACTGGCTTGTAGCCCATCGATTTCTGCAATTTCGAGTCAGTACTGATAATATCACTATAATTATTGCAGTTTGTCTCTTTGGTTGCAGGAGTGAAGAGACCTTATCCACTGACCAGCAGAGCCGCATCATCCTGCGAACTTGTTTCACTTCTGTCATGTTCACCAATGACGGGGACGTCATCTTGGTCGACCAGAAGGTCTGAATGGTTTTGGGTCGTGGGAGCCATGGCTGTTGTAACGCCTTGACAACAGATCTCAAGAGCTGACGGTATCCAAAATGCTCACTCCTGAGGCTCAAAGAATATAAGAAGGAAAGAAGAGTCAAAGACAAAAAAAAATTCCGATATGCTATCGCTCTTCGTAGATGATTTGAGTTCTGTGGATATCTTTTACAACTCCCGCCAGGAACCTGCCAACCCCACTGTTAGCGGCAATGAAAAGTTTAAACGGCAAGAGGATATGCAGGAAATAGTCTTCGGTTCGTTTTGGAGATTTCGAAGCGTCCAATATGCCATGAAGTAATGCACAACTTCGTTTGCCGAACGAGGCAAGGGTCCGGGATGAAAAAACCTCACTTACTCGTTGCTCAGGACTAGTTGATTCCTTGTCTTCCAATCGTCAATGCCACCCTCGGAGATATCTGGTCCGCATGAGATTCAATGGTGAGCACGCTAAATAAAAGGCTAGGGACGCTGAGGCCAGAGCACTGCTTTTTTTCTCTTCCACCCAGAAGCCAAGTGGTGGAGTCTCCAATCAGAGCTTGCTGGGTGGACGGAGCGCAAGTCCGTGGGTCATCAGTCATAACTGGGAAGCTGTCCCTTCAGGACCAAACCTTGTTGCATCCTAGAGAAATGTTCGAGCGAGAATGACGCCAAGGGGAGATTTTCTGATTTGCTTTTGCTGACCTGTTGGATTGACCTATCGCCATCATTAGGCTGGTCGACAGGACTGCGTTGATCATCATCATCATCGGCAGACAATCCATGATCTTGAGCCCTCATCAGATCAGCTCGAATGACAAGACTGGAAAGCTGCGGGACCAAGACTGGTTGAGCCGATCACATCATCAACACAGTTATCGCCCCACCAGTCATGAAAGACAAGGACAGAGCTTGAGATCATAAAATCCATCTTGGATTGTGCAGTATAATCATACGATGAACTTCAACTGGAATGAATTGCGACAGTTCAGTGAAATCATCATGCTCAGCGTCATTTTTACTGAGAAGAAAGAACACAACTGATGTCGTGCAAAGCGTCATCAGATCAATAGAGATCACGTGATATACACCAAGTATCAGTTGTCCTACAATCAATCAACGTCCTCTTTGCCCACATTCATTGACGGCTTCGAAAAATGAATTCTTGCTATGGTCTTCATTGATTGACGTTAGAGAATCATTGTCTCGGATGGTCCATCGACCGAGTCATTGGCTCTCATTTTGGCTTTCAATCTCCCACCGGAATGCTCTCCGATGGTAGGTCTGGTAGGAGAAAGATATAATACTTCGCAAGGCTGATTTATTTGGAGGCACCAATGCTGGGCTACAACAGAGTGCGGCAATTCCTTGTCTAGGATGATCATTCAGGCCACTGCTGCAGAGCAGCAGTACTGCCTGACTAAAAGAAGCTCACTTTCTCTTCGATGATGAACTTTGCAAATACTTTGCGGCATTGATTGCTGACAATGACCCCCAATCAATATAAGGTGAAAGTCATTCGAGCTGTTTTATTCACATTAGCTGGAGAACACTTGGAGAATAATCTATTGAAGGAGGGCTTTCAGGCAGCGCATGACAAAGAAGCCTCTATCAACCATGCTATAAACTTCATATATCTCTGCGAATTCTCCTCCATCTACTTCTCCCTCCCACTCAATATTTTGCACTCCTCTTTGACCGAAAGACCTTGCAAGCATTTCTTCAGCACAATGTCTGAGGTTGGAATCAAGATCAAAGTAAGTCATTCGCTCATACCCTCATTAACACAACGACTACTGACTACTAACCCTCGTCCAAGCTCACTGGCTATGGAGGACCGGTCGCTCGCAGGTTGCGGGCTCTTCTCAAAGACTGCCTGACCAACTCTGGCGACCCTGACCTCAATCCTCAAGAAGCTGGACAGCGCTCTGTGGAGCTGGAGCTAGAAATCGCAAGGCGCACCACTCACGTCATCAAAAAGGAGAAGAAGGTGATGGGGTTACGCGAAGCGATGGCCTATATCAACTCAACCTGCGAACGGTCTCAAGCATTGCTTGCATTCTATTTTCCATCCGACGATTATGGCTGGGAGAACATCTGTGTCACATTGACTCTAAAGGTCATCATGAAGTCGTTACTTATGAACACAAATTCGCCTGCCAAGTCCTATGTGGTGAGTTATCCAGCTGTCTTGGGAGTGTGTATCTCTAAGCAAGTTTTTGAAACAGGAAATCAAAGAGGATGTTCTCGTTTAAAAACTTGGTGCATTCTGGCTGCGTCCCATGGCCACATGCAAGTGCATTCAAGTCCGCTGTTACGTCGCGCCGTCTTCGACTACAAAAGGGTTTTCATGGAGCGCTTGAGACGGTTATCCAGCATGACTCCAATGAAGGAAAGAGCTATTTCAGGAGAGATATTAATACTCAAATTGAATTTGGAGACTGTTCTCTCTTGAAGATGCTTGTCTTTCGTATGCCAATGCTTCATATTCTTGCGAAGTACACATACCTTATGGACAGGAGACTTCAACTACGACCTTTGTAACAAGGGGAAGCCTACAGCAGCATGTTCTGCCTTTACTTTAGACCTACCTTCAAACCTCACTAGTTTTCTTTCCTCTCGCTTCAACTTGAAGTGAATGGCTTCTGGCCTCAGGTTTGACATTCACTTCACTCATCCCCAGAGCTCAGAATAGAACCTTCCGGCTGTATTAACATCTTCTTTTGCTTCCAGGTTAGGCAACATATTCCATTCGGGCATTGCCAGCTCCTCGTTGCTTATTTCTCTCTGCTCTCCTCAGGTTAAATATTCCCTCTTCTTTCTTCCCGCAACACTCACCTCTTCTCTCTCTCATCGTCTGTGCGCTTTCCTTGTCTCCCCTCGACTTCTTGTTTCGATTTCTGGATAATTTCTTCCATGTAATTCATCTAAGACACAAACTCAAGGTTTGCAAGTAAGAGGAGACCATGATGTAGTCGTCCACTCATGGTGACAAGAAATGCTTTGAATGGTCCGAGATAGTATGGGATTAAAACTATGCATTGATCTCATGGCAGACAAACCCCTATTGTAGTAATATACTGACTATGTCATGGAGTATGTAGAGCATGCAGGCATGTACAGCAGACGCAAAACGAATACCAGACTCATAACAAATAAATCAAACTTCAAACCCGCGAAATCAAAAGGCAATGAATGATTCCTGCAACGTCTCTCTCACTTGCGTGCCTCAAGTCCAGCTTTGATGGCTATACCTGGTTAGCATTGGCCATGAAAAGTACACAGGGAGATAACTCACCATCACAAGAGGTCTTCGCATCTCCAAACAACATCCTCGTATCAGGCATGTAGAACATGGGGTTGGGCACATCGGCTATGTTCCCTTTAGTGATAAGTTCCTGATCATGATGAAAGGACTTACCATATCCGCTGGACATGCCGCGCTTCATCACAATAACTTCTTTGCTCTTCCAGGCATGCAAGACGGGCATGCCAGAGATCGGAGAGTCGGGCTCCAAAGCGATAGGGTTGACGGTATCGTTTGCACCGATCACCAGGGTGACATCTGTGTCCGGAAAATCGTCGTTTATTTCGTCCATTTCGAGTACAACTTTGTCGCGTCAGCCCTTATTGTCTGAAACCTTGAAATGTGTGGCGTGGACTTACTGTCATATGGCACTGAAGCTTCAGCGAGAAGCACATTGCATTGTCCGGGCATGCGGCCAGCTGCAGCATCAGGTCAGTCAGACTATCCTTTTAGAACTAAATTAAAGGAAACGTACCAACTGGATGGATGGCAAATCGTACTTTGACGCCTTTAGCGCGCAACATTCGGACGATTTCTGCAAGTGCGTATTGTGCCTTGGCCACAGCCATGCCATAACCGACCACCTGGGAGCATTGTGAGCTTCGAACATCGAAGAGTCAAAATCAACATACAATAATTACGCTCTCTGCATTTACTAGTGTTTCCACCGTATCGTCCACCGTAACTTGAGTGATCTGGCCCTCGATCTTCTTCTGCCCCTGTTGAGGGGCCGCAATGCCACCAAAAAGGACATTGGTAAGAGATCGATTCATAGCGACACACTAACTTCAGTCAGTGAGATCCGCGAATAATAACAGAAAGCCACCAACCATGATGTACGACAAGATCGATCCGCTGACCCCAATCAATGATCCAACGCTTGTGAGTAGTGGATTGTTGAGCATAAAACCCTCTGCAACCAGAGCGAATCCCGAGTATGCATTAAGAACAGTGATAACAACAGCTTCATGGCGTTAGTAATCCTTTTCAGTGATGAGGGCGCGTGGACATACGCATATCAGCTCCTCCAATGGCAGCAGTGGTCGTATAGCCTTTCAGGAAACTCAGGACGGTATTTGCACCCAAACACGTAGCAGCAATGAGCGGAGATGCAGGGCCCATCGACACGAAAGCTCCCATAGTCGCCAGATTTGTCCCAAGCAAAGTCGAATTAATCAAGTGGCGGCCTGGAAGAATCGTGGGTTTTGACGACATGCGGCCTGCAAGTTTCAAAAAAGCTACAATGGAGCCAGTGAACGTAAGGCCACCTGTCCAGCGTCAGCAGTCGATCAAGCACCTGAAATCTGAGTTAATACCGATCAGAACGCCCAGATACGCAGTCACCATATGTAACGTCGAGATGTCAGCGATATCGGCCATCACGCTTCCAATACTTGTGAGGACAGCAGCCAGACCGACGACTGAATGAAGGGCAGCCACAGTCTGAGGTAAGCTAGTCGGTGTAATGCGACGTCCAATTAATGCTCCTGTAAGAATGTGAGCCAAAACCTTCTAATAACGATAGATATTTCCAGCCGAAACATCGCATAGACGAACATACCAACTAGAGCACCGCCACCAGCCATTGCTCCGAATTGAGCCAAGACCTCTGGTGAAAATCCTACAGCCGCAAGAGATGCAAGTATGCCAGAAGCAACTCCCAGAATACCAAGGATGTTTCCACGGCGAGCAGTTTGCTGGGAAGCAAGGCCGGATATTGAGCCTGATTACCTTTAGTATTCGGATGTGAATGTTTATCACAGTTCCACTTACTGATGCAGAGAAGAGTGCTGACAAGATAGCCAGCGCTCACTAAACCAGCCATTCCAGTGCTTGCTGCTGCTATGAATCCACCACCGAAGATAACAGCGGGTATCGCGTAGAGCCATGGATATTCGGGCGGGTCAGTCGGGCCTACATGACGGTAAGTACTCCATCAATCCATTATCAATCAGGAATGAAAGACTGACGCTTGAACATGTCTAGCATGCGCTTGGTGATAACAAAGCCTCCAGCAACGTTCATGGATGCCAACAGGACCGAAGCCGCTCCGAGTGCTTCTGGAATCGTGCTAGGCATATAGCCTCCACCCATTATGAAAAGACCTCCGATACCGACCATACCTAGAATCCAAGCGTGAGGATGCTACGGTAAACCTTTTTTGAGACATTATGCCTACTCACCTGAGATTGCATTTGTCACGCTCATCAAAGGAGAGTGGAGAGCCGGAGCAACACCCCATACAGCACGATAGCCGACGAGACCAGCAAGCCCGAAGGTCATCATGTTGCTCATGAAAATGGGACCAGTGGCTTTTCCCAGGGCAAGTGCTGTTCCCATACCAGCTGTAACAGTTGCAACATCGCGTGTAGCCTTTTGCCAGGGTGTGAGTGATAATTCGGCTTGTTCCTTGGCTGGAGTCGCCGCAGCTGTCGGTTTAGGTGGCGGTGGTGCTGGTCGTGGAGCTGGGGGTAGTATCTCGCCGTTAAGGGTGACAATAGAGCCGCGCACAACCTCGTCCGACAGGTCAATGCCGAACGATTTCTCCTGCGGTGCCATGGATAGAAGAAACTTGGTGATATTGTTCGAATATAATGTGGATGCTTGGGTCGGTAGGCGTGACGGGAAATCGGTATACCCTGAATTGGTCAGCATGAATTTACGGAGATCGGACAGGCTTGAGCTCAAACTCACCAATGACAGTGACATCGTTGTAATTGACCAATTGTCCAGGAACGGTTGCTTCACAGTTACCACCAGCCTCAGCTGCAAGATCAACAATGACAGATCCAGGTTTCATGGCAGCGATCATCTTACTATGAATTAGCTATTGCTGCAAGGACGAGATTGTGAATCATTCGAACCTCCTTAGTAATGAGTTTTGGTGCAGGCTTGCCTGGAATCAGTGCTGTTGTGATAATGATGTCAACCTCACGGGCCTGTTCCATGAAGAGCTTCATCTCTGCGTCAATGAATTCCTTGGACATTTCCTTGGCATATCCGCCCTGGCCAGCGCCTTCTTCTTGAATTTCGACCTCGATGAATTCGGCACCTAAAGATTGAACCTGCTCACGGGCAGCAGAACGCGTATCAAAGCCATGGACAATGGCACCTAAGCGACGGGCCTATGCATCGTTGGTAGAGAGCTTTGACAGTCAAACAGTGCAGACCTACCGCAGCGATGGCGCTCAACCCAGCCACACCAGCACCAATAACTAAGACCTTGCTAGGAGGTATCTATCGCAGCAATCAGTAGCAGCTCCCTTCTTTCTGGGGGGTGAACAACCTTTCTGGAAAGGAAAGAGTTAGCAGGTCAATATCTCAATGGGTTCCACATCTCTTACCCAGCCGCTGTAACTTGACCAGTTAAGAAACGACCAAAATGGTTCGATGCCTCTAAGACAGCCTTGTACCCGGCGATATTGGCCATAGAGCTTGCCACACCGTCAGCATCGGCCACTTTTTAATTTAGTCTGCTCATAAGCCCCGCGGGCAACTCACCTGAGGGCATCGAATGTCTGGGCTCGAGAAATCCGAGGGATCATATCCATGGCGAAGGACGTGACTCCGCGCGACGCAATAGCCTCTACCAGCAGCTTATTCTGGGCAGGATACAAGAACGAAATCACTGTGCTTCCGTCGCGGAGGGCTTCGACTTCATCTATGGGGCCCTCCTGTCGGGGACTACGGACTTTCAGGACGATGTTACTTCCGGACCATACAGCAGCTCGGTCGACCAGGGTAGCTCCGGCTTGTTCATAAGCCCGGTCAAGGATCTGTGCTTGTTCACCGGCACCGCGCTCGACTAGTACGCGCGAGAAACCTTTCTTCAGCAGCAAAGCCACATTCTGCGGCGTGAGAGCCACGCGACGCTCGTTGGGCCATGTCTCGCAGGGAACGCCAACAGTCAACGAGGAGTAGGGGACAGCAGGTACATTTGACGGAGCA